CTAACTTTTCCCATAGTTTCCTTTTCACATTTTTCAACTTATTCTGTTAGCTCATCCAAGAAACATTGATATTAGGGTATGCTGTGCTTTTATGTAAACTAAAATGAAATACAGAACTAAATATAAAAACGTTTTAAAGTACTGCCAAGCATGGTGGTACATGCCTTTAATTTCAGTGCTAAGGTGAAATTGACAAAAGGATCTCTGTGAGTTCCAGATGAGACTGATATATGCAGCAAGTTCCAGGCCAGCTAGGGCTGCATAGTGAGATCCTATTTCAAAAATGTTTGAAAATAGATAAACATATGTAAAAGGATTAAAGCCGGTTGAGCAGTTCTTCTGGATACACAGAATTATAAGTTAATAAATATTTTGTTGAGATATTATGGTGGTGATAGCTTGAAGCTTTCATTGCTCTGTTGAATAAATATGTTTTCAATCTTCTTATTACCATTTTCTTTTAATATGCATTAGAGTTCTTGCATCTGTGAGCTCTATTGTCCATTATACCTAGAAAATTTTCTTCCTTTGTTCTTTCCTGGTTTTCCTTCCCTGTTGTCCTCCCCACCACACTGCCTTTCCTTATTTACCAAGGATCAGCACCAGAGAGTGTACACTCTAGGCCAGTCAGCTATGTGCTCTACCATTGAGCTGTCGAGTTTCACCTTCTGCTCTCCTCTCACCCCTCTATCAGTCTCTTCTGTCCTGTTTCTTTCTTCTGTTTTTCAAACTCTGAATGCGGTGGACCTTCGGATTCTGTTCTGACTCCTAGTCTCTCTCCATGCTCCACATATATTTTTTCTTATCTAGTTGGTTTCCTTTCCTTCATTTTCCCAGTTTACTACCTTTCTCTTTAATCTCATGTTTATCTCATTGACTTAGTTTAAGCTGCCAATCTTCTATTTCGTGTTTACAGTTCTTTTTGCTTTTCTAGGACTCTGGGTAATTTTATTCATAATTATTTTCTCTTCCACGCTTGAAGCCTGACTAATGCTTCATGTCTTCAGAAATCATATTTATATTTTTTATTATTGCTTACTAGATGATAGTTTATTTTCAAGCTTGTTTGTACATCTTTTATTATAAGCCCATGTTTATCTGAATTTTAATCTATAGGAAGTCTAAAAACCGAAATTGAAATTACTTTTTCCCAAAAGTTGTTTTGCATTTTCATATTCCAAATGCCAGAAGTAATTAGTTTTTCTTCTCAATTTGTGGCTTCCTGAAATACTTAGTAGTATAAATCAGATCTACAAACCAAATATAGACATGGCTGCTTGGCAGATTCTTAGAAATAGCTATTGCTCCACTGTTAACAACACTGAAAATACAGCTCCTGAAGGTTCCCTTCCAGGGTTGTTCCACATTTTAAGATTAGGCTTAATGCAGATGTTAATTTCATGGCCAGAAACCACACAGTTAAGTTGAAAGAAAAAGAGCAACAGCAACAAACAAACAAAAACCCTCCAAATTCTAAAATATTTCAATAGGGGCTGGATATGGCTCAGTGGTTAAGTGCACTTACTGCTCTTCCAAAGAAAAGGTTTGGTTCCTAGTGCCCACATAACAGACAACAACTATCAGTAACTCTAGCTGCAGGGATTACAATGCTTTCTTCTGACCTCTGTGGGTATTGCAAGCACGCATGGTACACAGATGTACAGGTAGGTGAAATATACACATAAAATAAAATAACCTAATTTAAAATTAATCTTACAATATATTTCAAGAAACTTGTGATTTTTGCTTCGGGTTATGTTCTAGCTATGCTGCAGCATGTGAACATGTCAGCATCACTAGTCCATGTTTCACTGGTAATATGCGCAATTTGAATCTAAGGAATCGTACTGTTAAATTTATTACAGAAGGGACTAGAGAGATAACTCAACCATTAGAAATGCATGCTGTCTTTGCATATAATCAAGTTTCAGTTCCCTGCACCCATGGACCTACATCAGGCAGCTCACAACTCCTTGTAACTCTGGTTTCAATGAGTGTGGCCTTCCCTTCTCGCCTCTGTGGGCAATGCACTCACATGCAAACACACACATACACATACACACACACACACACACACACACACACACACACCATTTTAAAAATAAAAATAAAACCTTTAAAGAAAATTTATATTACAGAATCTGGAGCTACAACAGCACATTGGTTGTCCTTTTAGCTGACATATAAGTATTTTGTGACTGGCCAATTCAAGGCTTACGTTTTGGAGAGAGGGATTATTTTGATAGATCCTGGATTACTGCCCGAAGTTCTCTAATAAGCTATAGATTCTTCTCTGATGTAGATGTTCTATTGAGTAGATGAAGCATGCCCAATAGCTAAAAGAATTTATTGTGTATGCTGTTAATCAGTTTACCATCTAAACTAGCACTTTGGGACAAGAAAGACACCTCATTGGTGACGAAAGGAACTCTTTCTATTCCAGAGGACTGGAATTTGCTCAGAACCCACATCAAGTGGTTCACAACTTCCTGGAACTTGATTGATTATAAAAAGCCAAATGGCAATAGCTAGAAAGAGAAAGGTTTAACATGACTGGCAGGCAGAGAGAATAAATAGGAGAAATCTAGAAAAAAAGAAATCCAACGAAAGACAGGCAGGAGGGAATACATGAACAAGTGAGATCAAGATCTTGGTGAGAAATCTACAGAGACAGCTGAACTAAGCCCGTGGAAACTCATGAACTCTGGATGGATAGCTGGGGAGCCTCCATGGGTTTGAACTAGGCCCTCCGTATGTGGGAGTCAGTTGTGATGCTTGGGCTGAGAGGCTCCTTACAGTAGGACCAGGATCTATCCCGGCTGCAGGAGCTAGCTTGTTTGAGCTCATTCCCTATGTGGTGATTAAGAACCTACAGAATTCGCTATCTTTTGATTGATGGCTGAGTCAGATAATAGTCACAAAATAAGTGTACGCTCAGCACCTACTTCTAGTCTGTTCTGTAAAACACATTCAATTCAGGGGTTCAGTGAGCCCATCTCAACAGCAGAACTCAGCTCATTCTCACTTCAAAGACATTTTGGAAGAGATAGTTTCCAACTCTTTAGGCTCCTGAAATAAAGGAAGATTCAGTAGGAGCAGAAAGGTTCATATGAGTGTTTATCTAGCCCTTTCATAGATTCACAGTTTCATAGTTACCTAAAATATTACACTGTTGATAATTCTGACCCCTATATCAGCCTTTCAAAAAGGTCCCATTATATATCAAAAAAGAGAAACTTCGATTATAACTTTGAATACTTAGAGGTCATTTACAAATAATATTTACTGAATTGTAAACTGCACTAAGAGTTATATAGCCTTTTCCCATTAAGTCTGAGTAGTAGCTCTTTTCTATACTATAGGTGAGGTCTTTCTTTTGAAATTGTATTCTCAGCATCATTCTCTACCAGGATTACATTCATTCCATAAAAATTTTATTCATAGCATTTAGCTTTTCAATGGCCAATAAATTAAATTTGTATCATAACCATCAATGCTTTTATATTATTGTCATGAATTATTGCATTGTGTTGTTGATTGGGCACCTTACTAGGAATGTGACACTATGCTAAGCATTTTTACTGTGCTTAACAATTCTAAGCAGTTCCCTTCACAGTTGTTTTGTATGTGTGGAAGCTGTGACACAAAAGGCTTAGAGAGTGCTCGTGCAAGCTCTGAACACAGCCACGCTGAGACTAGATTCAGATGATAGGCTCTAATGTAATCTTATCCCTGGCATCACCACTTTATGACTACTCCAAAGTCTCCTTTGTTTTCTGTGATTTTTTTTTAAATCTCCACTTGAACTTGCTGACTAAAGAATTAAAATGTGGAGAAAGGTACACACACAACTAAAGCATCAGTTAAAAGAACATAACAATCTGAAATCTCTTAGAGGTCAGAAAAGGGCAGGTTTCTCATTAACTGCAAAGATGAGAATGTTGTAAACATTTTAAACTTACAAGTAGTACTATGTTTTTATGAGCATTCTGAATCTAAACCAATTATGTTGTTAATAAACAGTGATAAGAAAATATCTGTGTATCTCTATGATAGTATGTTTCCATAATTAAGTTAGCTTAGGCTCCTATGAAATGTAAATTATATGTTCCAGAATTGTAATAAATATTTTCAGTAGCTCTGATCCTTATTACTGCCTTGTGAGCTTCCTAAAATAATACGGACTATTAAAGTATTACCCTAAAATGTAGATACTTTAATAGTACACGTTCTTTTTCTAAATGGTGATAGTTTGGCAGGATGGTTGAGTGGATACGAGCTTGCCAGTGAGCCAAATCACCTAAGTTTGATCCCTGGGACCCACACATGCAGAGAACCAACTCTCAGTAGTTTTCCATTGACCTTTGCTTGTGCTTTTGGCACCTTTACACACACATGGACATAGACATACTGCACAATAAGTAGATAGATGGACAGGCAGGTGGATGGACAGATGGACAGACAGACAGGGCAAATAAATAAATGAAATAATTAAAAGAACTAACAAAGAGGAACTCAGACTGTCCAGTATTTTTTCCCTCATACCTATAAAGCCTGACTCCTGTCAAAAGGGCAGTGCTTCCCCCACTCGATCACCTCCACTATGGGAGTGGGACACACAGACGCACTCATCACCTTTTAAATCTACTTTTTTATATGTCTGTGTATCTGTCTTCTAACAATGGGGGACTTAAAAATGAGGTTTTTTTTAATTTTCCTTATTCACCTATTCTAAACTCAAACTTTCTGACAGTTCGACTCCTTCTATCTTAGCATTCTACCATACATTTAAAACCCTTGACTGCTCCTTAAAACCACAGTACCCGTATCACAGTATTTCTTTTTGCAGTCTTTCTCAGCACTAACACAGATGTAAGTTAACACCTTGTATGTGTTGTAAGGTAAATGTGGCATTTACTTTAGAAACAAAAGTCTTCGAAGCTCTCTATGAAATATGCCGATGTGATAGAACGTTGAATCTCACTCATTTGCATTTGTAGTTCCAGGTGCAGCATCACATCTCCCAGAGTCTAGTGACCCTAGGAAGCTGCAGCTTGTTGAGGAAGCCTATTATATTGCTATTGCTATCAGAAGTGAACAGCTTTGTGGATGACCTCGGAGCCATCACTCAGGTACATGGAACTTGAAACTGTGACACATTAACTTGTGCTCAACCCAACTATCAGCTTCTAGCCTTGCTCCCTCTCTTTTTTATTCTCCCCGTATTGGTGTATAGATTCACTTGTTGCATTATCTCTAATATATGTGAATATTACTGATTATTTTATTATGAAAGGGTACTTCAGCCAGTAGGGGTTTTATGTTTTGTTTGTTTGTTTGTTTTCTTTTTATTGTACCAAACAAGGTTGTGTCGGTCTTAGGAAAGGAATGTTTAGATGAATAGATTTAATATCCCCAACAGTGATATAAAGTGAAATAGTGAAGAGAGGAAAATGGTGGACCTGACAGGATCTGAAATAGGGAATGGTTCTTCTAACCAACTAATTAAACAGAAGTCTCTGAAGTGGGAGAGTGGGTATCAATATTGCAAACGCGTTCCTGGTAATTCCGCTCTGCAGCTAGACTTGACACCAGTGCTCTCAGTCCTTTTATCTGTACAGAGTACAGAGTTTTATGTTACCTCTACAAACATGTAGAAGGAATATAAGTCATTCCCGGATTCTGATGTTGATCATTAATATTACATCTGTTTATATTATGTTTACCTTATTAACACCATCTATACTGTAGAATTCAGAAACACAATTAAAAAGAAATCAAAGATAAGTTGACATATATATATATACATATATATATATAATATGTAAAAGTAAAATAAATTTAAGAATTCAAATATATCCTAGAGTTTAAAAGTGTTTTTTTAGCTAAGTATTTACCTTCAATTTTTCAACATTTAATGGAATGATCTTAAAACTATTATTCTAATCTTGTTCAGTGGATAATACAATATATCTTTTAGTCAGCAGTTGTTTTGGGGATTCTGAAACATAAATTTGCAAAGCCGCTGTCACAGATCTAAAGGAGAAATAAGTCAAGCTGACTACTGTAAAAGGAACAAAATGTTGAAATGAATGCATGGCGCAGCTTGTAGACGTTCCAAGGTCAAAGAACTGGTCATAGTAGTTTAGAAGCCGCAAAGTGTTTCCTGTCAAAGGAACAACTTAAAAAAGTAGAGATTTGAGTGGAATCAGCAGAGACTAGCAAAATGCAATGTTGGATAATAAGAGGTTTCCCAGGGGTTTGAGGAAATAAGATGGGTTTGGCATCTAGCAGACAACACTGTAGGAAATAAGGTTAGTTGAATTGAATTATTTATTTGGAGCATAAGAATAAGTTGAGAAGTCAACATTTCATCTTTGTAGTTAATTTAATTTTGAAGTGGCATCACAAAATACATATACTTCTTATCCAGTTCATGATAAGAACCTAGCCTTAGGTCAATAAGACACTTGATTACGATGGCAGAAGGACATCTGCCACAGCCATAATGTAAACTTAGGTGTTCTGTTATGCTGCTTTAACATCATAAAAAGGGGGCTGGAGTTATGGGTAATGGTTAAGACCACTCACTGTTTTTGCAGAGGTCCCAGGCTCAGGCTCAAGCACCCATATTTGGCATCTCACAGCTGCCTGTAACTCCAGTTCCAGGGTACTCACTGGTCTCTTCTGTCCTTCAGGGGTATCGGCTTGCACTTGATACACATAAACATATGCACTTTAACATATATATGAATGAGTGAAGAAGGGAAGGCTTAAGGGAAGAAAGTGAATTTAAATAATAAAAGAAGGAAGATAAAACAAAATAAGGCAGCAAACAATAACTAATTGTTTACAGGCATTTGTGTTCAATGCTTCACTTGATTTCTCCGAATCAATCCTTTTGGCAACCCTTCCAAATATAAGTATTGATCAAAGACAAAAAACTATAAGTCAACATTTCTAATGTCATGTAGCGGAATATAGTACAGCCCATTTAAACAAAGGAATTAATGAGCAGCTATGAAACTTGGGAGTGGCCTGAAGTATGAGACCCCGGGCTGTACTTTCATGAATTAAACCATTCCCACATCACAGAATTAGGCTAACAAGGGCATGGATGGTTGCATTTGCTATTAAAACCAGGAATTGTGCTGTGTGCTGAATCAATCAGTGCTGGGTCTTCTTTGGGGTTTGGACTATTGCGTGTACAGAAGCAGCCTGGATGAGCCCTGTGTAAGACCTAACTCACTATATCACTTATTTTCAAGTGAACAGTTTCTTTTAATACAACCAATAGCATAAAGAAGGAAAGAGAAAAGCTATAATTATATCTCAATATACTTTAAACTGTGAAAAAGAGATAAAGCAATGAGTGATAAATTTAGATTATGGTGTCCATCACATCCCATCTGACTCAGGGGGTCAGCGCCACACCCTTAGAGAATGTGCACTAATAGTACACAGTTGAAGAGCTTGCATATGGGAAGCCAGATGGATTGCAAACGTATGCAATTGAAGAGTTCGGATACAGGAAGCCACTTATTCGCAGCTCTTAATACATTGTGCATGCCAGCAGATTCTAAAGAAAAGTTAATGTGGAGAGATTAAATTTAACAACAAAAACAAAACTTGCCCAATTAAGAGATTGTGTAAATGTCACTGAAATAGGCTAGTATGGATAATGCTTATGTGTGAACAGAAAGATTGTGTTTGGATGTGCTGAACTTGAAGCATTGAATTAGCATAAATGTAGGCTGATAGAAATAGGAGACAATCTTTGAAAAATTTTAGCTGATGCACAGTTGGATACCTGTCTGCTAGACAACACTGGAAAAACCAAGTTAGTAACATGTCAATAATGTCTTCTCTCTAGACGTGTAAAAAAGAAAACAAAGTTGTACAATATTTAACCATTGGGCAAAAATAGAAATAAAACTCAAAGTGGTGTTGGAAAGATGGCTCAGTGGCTAAAAGCACAATATGTTCTCCCAGAGTTCCCTGGTTCAATTCCGAGTACCCATAAGGCAGCCCATAATAGGCAGCAAATCCCCAACTATTGAACATCCTCTTCTGCTTAGTAGGGCACTGTGCACATGTGGTACAGAAACATACATACAAAATGTCCATACACATAAAATAAAATAAAAAAGTAATGGAAGATAATGGTAATTGTTAGACATTAGAAATATTTTATGACAATTTAAAAATATTACAAATCTGTTAAATATCTTAAAGAACGTGAGACTAGTAATAAGATATGCAAGTTTTTGAAAATAGTATTGAAAGCAATATTATCTATGAATACAATAATGAAAATCTACTAAATATAAAATTGAAAGGAATCCTTACCAGTCACTTCCATAATTTATAATAAGCACACATTCTTTAGTTTCCTGTTTCCAAAATGAACTGAAGAAGAAATAGAAGGTAAAGTTATCGTCAATTCATATGCACACATACATGCATATATGTTGTAAACATAATCTGCTTAGTATGTTGCTTCTATGGTTACAGTTAACCTTGAAAATATATGATTTTTTGTGTAGTTTCCATTTAGCAACTTTGACTGCTGTACTTTTGGAATAATATGGCTACACTATCATCATTTATAGTCAACATGACTGTGAAGATAAAAAATCCAAAATCATTTTCTATGGCTAATAGTTTGTTAATACTTCCTTAAACACATAGCCAATTTATTTCATACTTACTTTAAGGTAATTCCATTGGAAAAGACTGGGGAAATGTTCAGTATGAAAATGGAAAAAAAAATTTGAACAGGCCCTTAAAATAGTTGCTATATTAGTGGTCAGAAAGAGCATGAATATTTCACACCAGGAAGATGCACTGGATAAAATTGCTAAATATAAATAGACTAACAGTGCTGTATATTGAAAGGTGCGTATCATCCTGAATTTATAAGTTGTTATTGGAAGTGTAACAAAGATATACAGTTTCTCAGAAAGTTAAGCATTCTCTTAAATCATTATTTGTCCTCATAATTCAATAACTGGGTTTACATTTAAAATTTTTATACATGAATATAAATTGTATCTTTGTAATAGTTTGGGTGTTGAATGTCCCCAATAGGTTCCAGTATTTGAACTGTTTTAGTAGCCAGTCGGTAGTGCTTTTTGGGTAGCTTTAGGTTGTGTGCTCTTGCAGGAGAATGTATGGCACTGGGGATAGTCTTGGAGACTTTAAAGCCTCACACTGGTAATTTGTCCTCACATTTGAAAGTGTGAGTTCTTAGCTACATGACCATGCCTGCCTGTTGCCATGTCTCTCGGCCCTGATGGGCTCTTGTCACTTTGTTCATAAATTTCGGAAGAATGACATTGAGTTAAAAGGGAGAATGAAATATCCAAGGAAGAGAAATACTTAAATATATTTTCTGCCAAATAATAGATACAAAAACATTGTGCACATCTAACAGTTCTTCCAGTGTACACATGATTAAAAACTATCTTCAAAATTTTGTAGAATCTGAAGGAATACATGTGAAATATTGCTATGTTTAAATTTGCATGTTTTGTGAGTGAACACCCATGACTTTTGTCTTATAAAGACTTTATATAAAAGAGAGAAATTCTTCTTTCATATCAGAAGTATATTAAAAGAAGATGAATTTTTTTCAGAAATGGTTTTCCCCTTAGATTCAGTTCACACTGCCGTCTACTCAGCATGTTTTCAGGAACAGTAGCCAAACTATTAAATGAAAAGTACATTTGGAACACTGATAAGGATGGGTGAGATCTGAATTCTGAGTAGCAAATTCATATTCATATTAAATAGTTCAGAGAACTAGTGTTTACAAAGTACATAAAATTTCTACATGATGACAGATTTAAAATTTAGAATAAAAGCATAGTAGGAAACAAACTCAAAGGCTATATTGCTTTTTCCTTGTAGATATCTATTTTCTGGTTAATTTAAATAAAAACTAAGCAATTAATTAATAAGAATAATTATGTAATATTCTGAATATGGCATGTTTGTACATACATATACCTAATACAAATGTAACTAATTTTCTATATCAGTGTAAACTATACCAACAAAATAAGTATTTTTAATATGGGATACTGAGGAAAAATAATCATAACTATAAATCTGAGCAAGAAACAGCTGG